ACGAATCTGAGCGGCTCTAGATTCGATGAAAGATACAATGCCCTTTTCGAGAGCGCCGTAGACGGTTTCAAAGTAGATAATGACATCATCTGACTTGAAAGGCAGGTTGTGGAGGACGGTGTTCACCCCCGTAGTTGCATTCTTGACGAAGACACATTCGTTTCTGGGGACATTCAGTAGCTTGGCGACCGCCTCCCGAGAGACATCTAGTTCTTTGGGGGTGGTGTAGCGGATGAATGGATCTGGACGCGCCTCAACTTGATCCTGGAAGTGGTGTAGGGCAGTGCGAACTGCGGCAGGATACGTTCCAAATGAGCCTGGAGTTTATCGGCGTGGTTGTGTCAATATTTGGTACTACAACGCTCGGTAAGTTCGATAGCAGGCGTTCTTACCGTGGTTCAGATTTAGGAACTTAGGGTCGAAGAGAAATTGCTCACGCATCGTTGCCCCAAATGGAACGATAGATGCATCACTAGAAGCCATTTTCGTGTTGTGTGGATTGGTTGATAGTAAAAATTAGGTACTATTTAGATGATTCCTTGCGATGACTCAAGTTGCGGAGATGCTGGTCGGCCTCGGCAAAACGACTGCGGCAGTATCTCTACCGCACTCGGGGCAGTAACCACTATTAGCTCGAAAGCCTAATGCCAGTATTCTGATGCAGATACCAAACGCAATTCTCTAGCTTCTAGCGCCATGCCATATTTTTACTGACAGACACGCCTTATAACTGCTAAAGGTAGGCGGTAGGTAGGGAGAAGACACTGGAAAGGAATGACAGGCGGATGGCCCATCCAACTTTTGAAAATAATTGTATCATCATATAGCGGAGACCCATGTCCGGGGAAGCTCAGACATAATCAAATAAAGCTGAACTCAATTATTCCGAAGTGGGAGACTACAAAGTCTCAACTTGACCCAGCAACCACTGCAGGTGGCGATACGACACACGGCCCTGATCCTGCGGCTGCTTATGCCCTGATTGGTAAGTCTCCGCCCACATCAACCCGCGCTCATAGTGTTGTACGCCCATAACTCCCTGCGGCCCGTCCAACCCTCCGTATCCCTCCTGGCCCTCAAAGATCTCGTTCCACTGGAGATCCGGCATCTTAATATCGATCGGTGTGGCAGGTGCAGACTGGAAACCCAGCTGGCCGTTCCAGGTCATGTTCTGGATGGCGAGGAGGGTGCCGTTCGTAATGATCAGATAGTCCCAGTCGCCATTTGCAATGAGCACACGGTTTGTCGCCTCAATAACACGCGGGAGAACCCCCTCGGTGGGGTTGGGTGAGTCGTCCCCTTGCTGCTCCGGACCGGGGTCGGAATCACCTCCAGCAAAGACGAGGTCAGTGCTGCAGAGCTCCCATTCCACGTCCAGTGGGGCGTGCAGAGCCTTTTTCACATCCGCGCGGTTGAAGTAGGTAGACGGCGCAGGTTCGTATGCTAGGTCCGTCGGCCAGCCAAGCACGTCCCAGAGAAGTGGACATTCATCAATGACACGATATGGGTTGAAGCATGGGTTGGGATTGTAGGCTTCGTAGTAGATCATGTTATAAATGTCGCACTCGGAGTAATTCATGTATTTGGGAGGTTGAATGCCGCTTGGAGGGAAGGCAAAGTACTCATCGAAGTATGCTTTGTAGCCGCATTCTTCGTAGGTGGTTTCGAGCTCGTTCATATAGGACTGGTTAAAGTTGAAGAGTGAAGCGTGCTGCTTGACGAAGGGGTAGGCAGGGAGCTCGGCTTGGATGTAGTCCCATTGGCCGATGCAGGCATCATAGAGGAGGGCTCCTAGAGGGGCGTTGAAGAGTCAGGATCAGTCGACTAAGCTTACGGTGCTAATGATTATGAGTAGGAGGGGCTCGTACCGCTCAGGTTAAAACGGGTGGTGTCGTTCTTATCCAGCATTGCCGACGAGATGTAGGGAACATATCGACCGGCGTAGCTCTCACCGGTTATGAATATGCGAAAGTTCTTTATCCCGTATAGGTCTTGAAACTTTCTGAAGAAGTTGAGAAATTCGGCGGCAATCTCGTCTTCGTTGGTGGCTGTAACATTGCCTACAGAATATCCGGTTCCGACTGGTTGGTCAACCCTTAATCACCTCAAGTTAGTCACACAAAGTACGGGCTGAATGCGTCCAATTGCTATTATTGGGTAGTAGCGTACCATAGCATGTTCGTCAGGTTAACCCAAGAATATTCGTTAATGACGGGTGCATAGGTACCAGGCTGCCACGTGAACCTTCCATTTTCCTGGAAGAAGCCTTGTTCGGAAGAACAGCCTGGCCCTCCATTGAGGTAAACAGTAAGATCGTCCGATGGTTCGCCTATCTTAGGTTGGAAGATATAAAACAAAGATCGAGAACCATTGTTGCTATCATCGATAGGGATCGACCCTGAGTACATCTCCCCCAGATCGAAGTGCACATCAGGTAAGCTTTCCACCAAGTGGGCTATCCAGGGGTTACCATATGTCAGTCACGAATAAAGTTCAAGGCCAGTTTAACGCATACATTTAGTCCTATTATTAAAGAAGCGATAGTCAGAAGTATTGCTAGAATGAGCCCTGGTGGCAGCACGATATGTTGGATGACGTTTAGAAAAATGAGCGACAGCCCGGCTTCGTTCAGATTGAGTTCCTTCTGCGCCGTTGATCAACAGAAGTGCGGCAGCAACCGTGACCGCAGGTGAAGCTAAAAACTTCATTCTGGATTAAAGTCAGTCAACAGGATCTGACAGAAGAAGAAGATGTCTAACGGCCAAGGGGATCAGGTCAATCTTGTACCCAACAAGAAGAATTCCTCCGTCGAACCCGATGGCTAGGGGTTGGGCCCATTTACTCCGATATTCTAGCGACGAAACAGATCCATTGAACTCAGATTATATTTTCCGATAGTTTCCATGTCATGATTGGAGCAACCAAGGCTAAAGATGGGTCTATTCTGCATCGTACAGCTTCTTTACAGATTGGGTGCAATAGCGCACTTTTCGGCTTCCCGATCCCTTGTGGCATGGAACCGAGCAATCAGTCAGTCTAGTAATTATTAACTAGCCAGACGCGTTTGCAGAAAAAAGAAAGTCGAAGACACTCGCTTGGCAAGAAAGTGGCTTAGACAATTTGGTCAGTCCCCGCCATATAGTCTAGCTGGTCGAAGACGATGCCGATCTGAACCGAGTTTGGTCAACCAACGATTGCAAATGGTTTTCTCTTTGTAGCGCCAAGACATGCAAGCCGGTCAATAGCCGCGGATCATTGAGCCCATCAGCGATTCCTTACTCAACTTTCTGGCATGAACTCCCCAGTTCTAAACTTTCCTTACCAATTGAGGATATAGCATGGAGAAGGATTCTAGGTCACTCTTCATTTAGTCTCTCTCCAATTCTCCTGTTCAAAATCTGTTTGCCGTGTGCAATCTGAAGATATGCTTGCATGAAACTGGGTTTTGGTCACAGACAAATGTAGTTGCCTGAGAGTTAAATCCTTGGTGGATCTTTTCAGGGTCATTAGTCCTGTGTTTGTAATCAGCACGCAGCGGATGGAGCCGAATTCGTCATTTCTCATTCGAGGCCGAGTCGTGATCGTAACCCTAGATTCCCCACTGGACCCTGTGCCAATGCGGTGCAAAATCGACGCGCTTTCCCCAGACAAGAAGCGGAAATTTAGTAGTCCCGGTCCCTCGGGGGTTTTTCGCCCGCTTAGATAATACGCGTAAAACCTCCCTCAACGTCAAGCCAATTATGAGGGCGACTGACTCAACCCGTACATGGTTCCTGCATTTGATGTGACGATCGGCGGCAGCGTAGCCTCTGCTACGGCAAACTCATCGGCAAACACCAAGCCGATGGGTTGATGTCAACGATCATATCAATCAGGCATCATATCAATCATATCATCCTCCGATCTCGGTTTCTCGGGGAGTTCTCGGCACCCAACTTGAATGCTTGAAATTGACAGGACTTGGGAGGATTGACAGTGGGTTCTTTTTGAGGTGCCTAAAAGGGAAACTCGACCCCTTATCCAGAGAAGGTCGGATTATGTTCAGGAGAATAACGTTTTTACGTCTTGTTCTTTCCTTTTTTTTCATACCAAGGATCACTCACTCAACTCTTACTTGTTCCAGATCTAATCAAAATTCGTTCAGTAAAAGGTAAAGCCGCGACAGTGTCTTTCCTTACATTCATTTTCTCGCTTCTCCATTCTCGCTCTAATTATCCCAATCATTGTAATTATCAGCGTAAGGTGGTTCCAGCTACATAGAAATCGGCATTCCATCGTCGCGTATGTACAAAGAACTAGGAGTAATATAGTGATGGAAAAGGGAGTCATTTCAATCGGGTGGAACATACAAGATGGGCGACCATATGACCATCAAGATCAGCATTGACTACTACTTCTTAACTCCATCATAACTCCGTAAACCTCCGGGACTTCACCCCACGCAGGCCACGCGTACTCTAACCTCGACTCGGGGGCGGGGGGGGTGCACTCGGCTGTGGCCCAGTTTAAAGGTTCTAACTGTCAAGGTTGGGCACCTTAGGCATTCATATCAAATTTTCATACTTCGTCTCTTTGCTTTCCGGTCCATGCTCCCTGGTTTGTTCTGGGGAAATGTTGCGTTTTCTTGAAGGATGTTTCAGATTTACCTACGTGTATAGCTTCACAGAATCCAAGCCGACGAGGCTAGTTCAATCAGTTGGTAGTTTGATAAGGGGGCTACGAAGATTGGTTACTTTATCAAATAAGTAAATCTCTCGGCCTGACTGGCTGGCCGGGTCCAGTATCCTCGGATAACTAGACCAAGGTTTTGACTTGGGTACGCTTTAAATTTTGATAGGCAGACATCATTCCGTTCCTATGAGCACTAGGGCTGTTCCTATTAGCATGATTTATGGAGCAACAATATGATAAGTCTTTGCGCCTGTATTTGGAAGGCATTACTGTACGATTAGACGCTTTCCGAAAGGCATTTTTTTAGACGCTCAGTAAGATGCAGAATCCGGCCTCGTAAACATAGCCCACTATTGCAGTACCAGTCTTCTTGCAACAATAGCTCATGCAATCCTTAACAGGAATAGGCCCAATGAATTGGTGTTCCTGCTTCGACTATGTCATGAACCTCGAATATAAGTGTTGGGTTGCAAAGCTTCTGCCAGTATGAGATGGGCATTCTCCATTGAAAGGCCTCTAGTATGTTGGGAGTGTCATGTATGCGTCCGTAACAGGTTGGAGGGCTCTGGTAGATCATATCGACAATGATAATTCTGATTTTGTGTAGCCTCTGGAATCAGTCTTCGGATGTCAGGGATCATGAATGGACCTGACACATGTGTACGGTCGGAAGTTCCTCCTTCAGGTTCAGAGATTTTTGTTTGATCCAAAAAAAGCCGCATGATTGTAGCATGGATATTCCTGGGTGTCATGAATCAGGTCCGGCATCCAAAAGGTTGATCAGCTCTCTAGTATATCTTGATAGCGCGTACGAATGCACGGAGGTCTTGCTTCAAAACTTCGTGTCCCAGGAAAGGGTCAATCATTAGCCAGCAGTGTGAGTGCATTGCATGTCCAATAAGTGGGCCATTTCTCCAAATTCAGTCTTCTTCGAAAACGTTTGCCATATGAAAACCGGCAACTATACTTTGACGGGCCAAGCTCGCCCCAGGAAAGATGACTGCCTTGTCTGCATCGGCTATCACCCGGTGCATGTCCTTCCGGTGATTAATCATGAGGCATGGAGATATTCCAGAAATTGACAAGCGGCTCGTTAACGGATCGTCTAGGACTGGAAGTTGACTGGAAGTTATAAGAGGTGTTTCTCAGAGGCAGGAAATAATCTTATCAATCACCTGCACGGTAGACACAAGATCATATTGGGGTCTCAGTTTCAAGATCCAACTGTTCCAACTCGGCCGTTAGCACAACTAGTCTCTTCCCCTTGTTGAATTTACGTGCTGTCCATATTCTCGATTCTCTATGCACCTCTTGCAATTCCTGCCGCGCATAGTACAGGGACATCTCTATCCCACAGGATTTCCCTGTACTAGTAAAGCAGGGGGCATTGGCGTGATTTGAATATGGGCCGCGCTCTACACATAGTGCTCGCTCCGCACAATAAGGACGTGCTTTGGTGGCCTCACATGTAAGGGTAACTGGCCAGTCATATGAGACTGTCTGCGCGTTCACACAAAATCTCCGATGAGGATCTGGCCTAGACTAGCCGCATCGAAAGACACATGCTAGGATGGACTACTTCTCTTGAGAAGTATGTTGTTGCATCAACGATGATCGCCATTGGAATGTAAAAAGTCTGGTGCGGGTATTATTGTGAGTTGTTCAGTAAGTATGTTGGTAGGTAGCATCTAGATGCATCCACTGGGTGGGGCAAATGGTGATATCTCGGGAAACTCACTGACCAGCATCGCAGGACCGACTCGGAGATGCCGAACATGGCTATTACGATATGATGCCACGAAATGGCATGTTGATAAATCGGGGCGGTAGGCCTCAGGCCCATGGAATGCTACAGATTGTGTCTTCATGATGGGCATCGGATTTCGCCGGTCAGTGGGTTACACAAAGTGGAGGACTTTGGCGGGACAGACCCAAAAGCAGCGAGAGCACTGGATTTTACTAAACACTAACGTGGAAGCATCACCACCACGACATGCTTGATAGGACCTATCATCGCTACTAAATGGCAGCAGAAAGTAGGTGTAATATTGACGTTCGTTCATTCGAAGAGTGCAAGAATATAGGGCCACGGAAAAATGAAGCGGGCGGGCCTACTTCAGACGTTCGATCCTTCGAATTTCTGGGCAAGAAGGAAAGCATTAGAACGAAACAGCCTGACTAGAAAAGTTATGAAAATCATAAAAAAAGAAGACAAAAACATACAACAGAAGGGATTCGCTGGTGGTCACCCACCCAACTACTAACCTCCCGGCGTGTGGCTTAAGTACGGCTGAGCGGACGGGAAGCCCTGTTTTCCACACCCTGTGGTCGTATGTGGTAGTGGAAACCTCATTTAGGATGATATAGTGATCATGGAAATTCTACCTTCTGCCAACCACGACAGAAACATAACAAAGCCAGAATTTTCCCCAGGCTCAGATAACCTCCTCTAGTCCTTAACAGCACAATGGCGGCTCCTCGCCCGAATACTCCGCCCATAAAAGTAAAACAAATAAGGGATAACCGCCATAATCGCACTAACAGCCCCCAAGAACGACAACGTATACGGTACGCCACAATTCTCATAAATCGTCCCGCCGGCGACCATCACCCCGCCCGACAAAAGGTATCGCGTGAATGCCATGAACCCTAGCGCGGAGGAGGAATAGATGCCATAAGAATCAATCACGTAGAGATATGCACTGACGAAGATGGTAGTCATTCCGTAGCCGAGGAGAGCGGAGGCAGCCAAGGGGGACCAGATGGATATGGATGACTATTAAATTGGTGTCTGTGTTAGTATGTAGGAATTAGAGAGTGAGAAGCTTTGCAAAAAAAAAAAAAAAAAAAAAAAAAACTTACAGTGCTTGTCCAGCCCATCCAGAAGAGTGCAATAGGAACGGCGGGGGCACCGCCGAGCATGGTGTACCAAAGTCTTGCTTCGGGGCGGATGCGGCCTGTCGTCTGGAATTCTTTCGAGGTCCATGTGTAGACCAGCGGTACGATTAGACAGACTAAGGAGATTCCGACGAACATTGCGGCCCAGGTAATGCTGGTGAGACCTTGCGAGAGCCCGTAGGTAGAGCCGAAAATAAATCTGTATCCCTCGAGTGAGGTGAAGAGGACGATGTAGACGACTGTGAGATAGAGAGCCATGAGCAAGACAATTGGCTCTGTCCTACTCCATGCGAAAGGTCTGTATAACGCAATCAAGAGCCGTCGCCTTAGTGGCTCGCCGCGTACTTCCATCGGTGCTCGATACCGAGAATTACCTGTTTGCTGCCGGAGTGCCTTCGCCTTCCAATATAGAAGAAGGTCTCCATAGGTTTCAGGTTGGAAAAGGAGAACTGCAACTAATACTGTCGCACCCATGATAAGCATGATCCATTCGAGCCACCGCCATCCAAGAGTAGATGGAATAAAACTCCCTATAAGCTGCCCTATTACGGGCCCGCCGAATCCAGGGATCGCATATATTAGAAATGCATAAGTCTTTTGTAATGGACTCCACAAATCCGCCACTGTTCCGCCAGAGCAAGTAAGTGGTGTTGAACCGAACAGCCCAGCCAGGAATCGAAAGATCAGGTGGGCAGTAACGTTAGGAGCTAGTGCCGATGCCATAATGAAAAGAAGGTATAGCACCATTGTGACAATGTAGACGAGGTTGCGGCCGAATGTTTCGGAAAAAGGACCGGAAACGAGAGAACCGAAAGAGAGACCAATCATGAACAGCCCTGTATACACACTATGACTTAGCACAAATGTTCTTTCTGCTTTTTGAAGTCTGGTCGAGTAAACAATCTTGTACCTGTTGTAAGACCTCCAACAACCTCAGTTGTACGAAATTCCGCGGCATACTGGGATAGCCCCACAGCATCAATCGCCGATGCAGCCGTGACAGAAACTCCAATAAGAGACACAAACGCAGTCAGGACAGCTTTCCGTACGATGCTGAAATTGGCGGGGTTGAGTTTATCGTCGGCGGAAGACCAGTGAACGTAGATGATCGACTCGCCGCTGGGGTTCTCGTCGGATGCTCCGCTCGGCTGAGCGGAAATGCTAAGGGACCTAGAAAGATGACTCGTGAGTCGTCAGTCGATACACTGCATTAGACAGATGTCGTATCTATACAGTCCACCTACCTTTGGCTGTGGTCGCCATTGCAGGAGGGGGCTTTTTCAAGGTTGGTAAGTTCTTGGGAGACTGCACGTTGAATTCGCTGGTACTGAAAATAAGCCTCCATTACTCCAGCTGAAGCTTGCTGTTTGACAGACGAAAGGGGAGCTCAACTTCGAGTATAAATATCTTCGAGACCATATGCCCCCAGCTCATATTCCCGAGAGACCTTCCGAGGCGCCCCACTTGCTACACGGACCATTACTTGATTGGTGATATCTTAGTCACTACACCCAATGAAAAATCGGTCCGAGGCCGCGGACACGGCTCCGATTGGATGCCGCGCATCATTCACATTCGAGGCTCGATGGGGCCATCAGTAAGCATGGCTTCGGCTGGCATCGCATCTGACCAGATAAAATCATCAAAGCTAAAAGGTGGTATACCCGCATCATTCGCAGTGAATGGATTGGACATGGCTAGGAGCGAATCCCAGTCTTGACTAATCTCATTCTGCTGCTGTTGAGAGAATCGTTCGGGTTGGTCTAGAGAAAATCTCTCGCAGAGAATCTCCAGCAAGGCGACACATCTCTTTGCTGAGTCTCCAACCATACTGTAGCACTTCAAGACGCGAAGAGCGGCATGCCATGCTTGATATGCTTTCGGATCTTTCACAATGCCATCCTTTGCCTCGAGAAAGCGCTCTACTAGAATCATCATAGTGGCGTTGTAGACGTCTATTAGGGAGGTATTGAAGTTAGTGCTGGAACATGGGCCGACAGACTGTCCTTTGTACTGCTTACACAGAACAGAATACCACCAATTTGGCAGCGGCCCGAGGGCATTTTGGCGGGAAAGATGGCGATCATAAATCTCAATTAGTTCCTGGGCAACACGGAAGCATATGCGTGAACATTCTGGGAGCATTGCTTCAGCAAGGCTGGAATTGTTTGCATCAAATAGTTCTGTCCCAGATGTTGAACCACCTCGAACACAATAGGATATAAGAGCCGGGCGGAACAAGAGGATGCGTGCGTGCAAAAAGCTATCTTCATGTTAGAACCGTAACAGAGAATGGACGATATTGTATCTGGTCACATAGGCAGACTAACCGTGCCCTCAGAACTGTTGCTTGTCGCTCCACCAGAAAGTCACGGGTTGCAGTAGCTCCAAGTTGCAGATGTTCTGGAAGAGCCCTGTTCCACATTTGCAACTTGCTATCTATTTCAAGGATCCTGATGAGTCTACGTTTGGTGTCTTCAGAATCATTGGGGTTGAGATAAAGGTCAACAAGAACCTCATCCAAAATCTGATAGAGCTCCATGGCCTTCACAGCACCAGCCATGATACAAGGCTGCCCGTCTGGTCGTATCGGAGAACCAATATCTTGTGTCTCGAAGAATTCGTCATCGATCATGGACGGTAGTGGCACTGAATTAAATAGCCACTTGGGGATCATACCCGGTCGGCCCAGTGTAGAGGAGAGAACCCTGTTTCACCCAAATCAGTACCATCGTAATAGAGAACGAAAATGTGCGCGATGTGTCAGTCCTAACAAGGTTTGAAGCCACTCTTATAGCGGCGAGTACGAGCTGGGAGATGGAGCCCATCTTGCTTACCTGTCCAGCCATACACAGCAATGCCATATCCGCCTTTTGTACTCTCTATCTCTCACGCTTTCGAGATAAATCGTCGACTCAGGTAGATGGACCCCAAGACTTTGCGCCATTCGAATCGCTTTCCCGACTGTCATCCAGCATTGGAAGACATGCTTCGTACTTTGCAGGTATATGGCGAACAGCAATAGACACGTGACTCTTTCATACGAAGGAATATCCCCTGTCTTCTGGTACAGACGTTTCGCGCGACCATAAAAATCGTCGCTCGTGCCCATGCGATCTTTGGGTGAGAGAAGATTTGAGTAGTGGCAGCCTATCGCGAAACAAATGTTAATAATGCTCATTGGAATGAGCGGATAATTCGCGGATGTGGGAGAAGTCCAGAGCGAGTCGTAAATAGTTTCAATCTTACGCCGATTGATTACAGGGTACAGTGCCCAGTTGTTGTCCCAGTAGGCCCCTATAAGGCCATCGGCCAGCCCTTTTGGAGGAAGTAGAAAGAGAGTCGGTTCCTCGCAATTAGAAAGGGAGGTTTGAGGGCACGGGGATCGGCTTCTCGGTATAGCTTTCAGTTCACCCGTAATTTGGTGGGCAATACCAAGCTTGAAGTTAATAGCAGTCTGAATCTGTTGGATGAAGGAGCTAGCACTGCTGCTCCCATAAACTTCACGGGTTCGGGCTGGGTCGCCTATTATCCCATTCATAGAATCCTCCCCATGGGGTTCGCTGGGAGATCTGTTCAACTGCAGTGGATGAATAGCTGAGGGAATTGTTCTTTCTGGGGCAGTGGATGCTCCAAGTCCCGAACATAGTCCAGGGTAAGCATAGTCCTTGGCTGCCTCCAGGAAGGGTTGGATGGGAGCGTTAGGGACGCGCGGGGCGGCTCTAGATTCATCAGAAAATCTCGCAAGGCCAGGCTCTCTGACAGCTGCTCCGTTCTCATATATACAGTCTGCTTCTTCGTGACTTCTTCGACAGGCACCACACGCTGTAGTTGATGAGCACCAAGCTCTATCGTCAGGGACAGGGACTGGTACCTGGACGAACTCCGTCGCACTTTACCTTCCGGCGACGGCAGCGCAAGCATGCCGTCGCAATCTTGAGCCGCTTCCTCCGAGGAGCGTGGATTTGGGATGTTGTGTGAGGCTCCATGAGTGTAGAGGAACAGTTAGGTTATATGAAAGTTAGGTGATTAAGGAAGGTTTCTGCCCGCGCCTTCTCTTTCCGCGATTCGGGAGTTCTTAGTGCGTTTGCCTGCGTCATCGATCCGTACTTCATTTCAATCAGCAGTCACGTGGCTCACCACCACTTGCCCCTGTCCAAACTGATGACACACCATGTATGAAAATGACACCAATAATATACAGAAGCATAATTGTCGTGAGCCATCATTGTCCAAAATAGGAGCAAGCGCTAGAGATTGTTGCCCTCGCCCGTGGATATAAAGACACTTGGAATACCTCCCGTCCGCTTATCCCGCTCCGCAAAACCCCCCTTCAACAATTTATCCTCACAGATCTATTGTTCTTCCACCATATGTCTTGTCATACCTAGAATCTCGTTCTATCGCGCTACGGGTTTGTTGCCAAATACAGTGATAATATCCAGCATAGAGAAGTGGAAAAGAATATCGCCAGGGCATTTGGCTACACTGCGGGGGATCTTAGTGCGCTGCCAGAGAAGGCAAATCTCGGATTAAGCTGTGGAAATTCCGTTGGTTTCGCGAACGTGAAAGAGGTTTGGCTTTGCTACCTGGTGCCACGAGCGCCAACAAATAGGTTCTAACCTTAGGGCGAAACGATTCTGGATCTTGGCAGTGGCAGCGGCATTGATGTGCTTCTGGCGGCTCGTAAAGTTGGCCGCAATGGACAGGCCATCGGCATTGACATGACAAAAGTGAGTGCCCCAAGGCCTGCCCCCTACAGAGTCAGGGCTGATTTTAAACTGGGAATATGAAATAACTCGCTAAGAAGAACATCCAAAAGGCAGGCCTGTCCAATGCAAAGATCATCGAAGCCAATGTCAACTGCATACCGCTGCCTGACTCCAGCATTGACTGCATTATCAACAACTGTGTTATCAACTTGGTGCCGGCGACAGACAAAGAGGCCGTTTTTAAAGAGATTGACCGACTCCTCAAGCCAGGTGGAAGAGTAGCAATCGGTGATATCCTGGCTAGGAAACCGCTCCCGGATACCATTACCAAAAACATGGCTCTTTATGTTGGGTGTGTTGCTGAGGCTAGTCAGATTGGATTGTAGGACGAGTATCTCAGGCAGGCTGGATTTGAAGGTACATATACCACCATAAAAAGAGGCCCCCGTACTAATATAATGGCAGGCGCGTTTATTATGGATACCAAATCGGATCTTAACCTTTATAAACAGTTGTCGTATTTACCCCAGAGCTCGTGCTGCAGCGGTGGATGCGGCGTTCAGTCTCTTGATGTGATAGCGGAGTTAGATTTCAATGAGTGGGTTGGTCAGTAAGCACCTTCTTCCACCCTGGGTTATAGGTCACTGACATTTTCTCTAGGCTCTTTCCAAATATATGTTGTGAAGCCCGAGACGACTTGATTGAAGGGGTCATCTATATGAGAGCTGGAGTTTCTTGATGCCTGCAACCCAGATAATCCTGTAGTCTTGCCTTGACTTTGTTCCTATTGATCGGGTGATGTTTATATGTAGTCTGAGTATGAGAGCAATGGGAGTAAAACTGCATCCTGTGACAAATTCCTCCAAGCCAGATCCACTAATATCCGAACTCGTCGAGTGTGACTCCACTCTAGCCGGGAACCTGGATCCACTTTTGTTGGTTCTACTACTTAGTGCACATTCGCAGGAAGGGAGCATCATCCAATCAGCATACGCCAGTGACATACTTGCCGCCGGCTGCCCTTGGAGTTTACATGTCTGGGTCTACGAACATAAATCATCACTCCACTAGAAGTATATCTTGATCCGAGCCCAGAAAGTGTTATACTAAATACCTAATGCTCGGCCGTCTACAAGCCCCCTCGTTGCACGGGTTCACTCCATTCATTCACTTAGTGATACTATCGGTTCCCAGGAGATACAGCACAATGGCGTATTCCGCTGTTGCTCAACCTGGGCCTACTATCCCCTCATTCATCAACAAACTCCCATCTCTCGCGATATCTGAGAGCGAGGATGACGCCAATATTCGCCATAAATATCGCCCCTTTCTTCTCGACGATGGCGCATCTGACGACTGGGTCAATAAGTTAGAGTTAACAACCGCCATGGAGATGGCAGCGCAGGAGCTGCGACAATCAAACAACAGATTGAAAGTGCTAGTGTTGTACGGCAGTCTTCGCCAAAGGTCTTATTCGCGTCTCGTGGCATTGGAAGCTAGCAGGATTCTGTTCCGCCTAGGGTGCGATGTCCGCGTGTTCAATCCCGAGGGTTTACCAGTCAAAAATGATACCGACCACGACCATCCAAAGGTGCAGGAACTTCGAGAGCTTAGCAAATGGAGCGACGGACATGTTTGGATATCGCCTGAACAGCATGGCAACCTGGTTGGCATCCCTTCCTTGACGTCTTGCTACTTCAATTACTGACAATCTCCAAGACCGCCGTATTCAAAAATCAGATCGACTGGATTCCGTTAACCACAGGCAGTGTACGTCCCACACAGGGCCGAACGCTTGCTATCGCGCAAGTATGTGGCGGGTCGCAATCGTTCAATGCTGTCAATTCCCTGCGGATTCTCGGCAGGTGGATGCGCATGTTTACAATTCCCAATCAGTCATCGATCCCGAAGGCATATACGCATTTCCCGGGTGAAGGTCAACCAGGAGACCAGAGGCTTCTACCTAGTGGTAACCGTGACCGGTTGGTTGATTGTATGGAGGAGTTCGTGAAATATACCATTCTCGTGCGACCCCACCTGGAGCTTTTTGGTGATCGGTTCAGCGAGCGGGAAGAGAAGCGGATCAAGGAGATGAAAGAACGGCCCAATCAAGTATAAAGTATGACCTAAAATCTCCTCTTTTGTATATAACGAATGGGACTCATGGTTATGTGACTGGATATGGATTGTCTAGAACAGCCCCTTGACTGTCATTGCTGCCCTCAACCGTAGAACGAATCATTGTAGTATATTTAAGCAGTCCATGCAGATGCGTCGTACTCATCCATGAAATCCATGTATTCCTTCCCTGCTGCAACCCATCCTTTAATACCCCCTTCTAGCACCAGACTTCTCATCCGGGTGTCTTGTTGCTGCTCAATGTAGTCGGCAAACCAACTCGCGGCTCGCACTCCACGGCCCTTCGATGAGCCTGAGTCTAGTGAGCACACTCCACCGCTCTTCAATGAGAGGAAGCAATAATTTGTAACATACCACAGTACCAGATAACCTTCGTAGCCTGGCTTTGGCTGAGAAGAGAATAGAGTGTTGGGATTGCAGGGTACAGAGTCTGGGCTGGGAGGTTGATGGATCCTCGGATGGTACCTCCCTGAAAACGCATGTCAATTACATTCACCTCTTATCCTGATCTACTAACTTACCTCGAAATCTGTCCGACGTAGGTCTATTAGTAGGAAATCACGTCCGGGCTGTCTACCTGAGCGAAACCATCCTAGTAGCTCCTCGCGACGGATACCGACCGCCGTGCTCCGAGGTGTGGGATAGGCTGCGTGCCAGGGAAGAGTATCTGTAGACATCATGGGTCTTTTGTGATAGTTCAATCGGTAAATTTCACGAATTGATTGTTGTATAGGAAGAGTTCCAGCCGCTTGTTCATACTTTAGCTGTGGGCATCTTCTAGTTCGGTGGAGCCAAGATCACCAAACATGGTGTGAATGCTCTGCTGACCAATCAGCTTCGGTCAGTGACATTCCAGGGCAACATCCGGTCTGAATAACCTCGGTTTGCTGGACTCATTCTCTTACTATTTAGATCTTCCCAAAATTCTCAAGAAGGCATTATTCCGATAAACTATGTTTATCAGGGAGACCTATGAGTGTACTGGATGATTTTTTCCGACTTGATGGGCTACTGATAGACCTGTCACGACATGATGTTGCTACTAACGTCAGATCGTTTAACCTGAAATGTTTTGTGACTCGCGGTATATATGCGTGCATATGCTTTCCCAATGTTATGATCAGAATGAGCATGTTGGTAAAGTAAGTGAGTAAGCGACTTATGATTGAGTGATTGCGATCGCACCAGGCCAATACCCGCAATCTCCTTAATCCCGGGCAGATCGTTTAAATTGGTACATGAATTCGGTATCAATAACTATTGTGAATCATCTTGCACTACCTAATATCACCACTAAAGCAGTCCATCGCGGTTCCTGAAACCCGGACCACAACCCCGCCTCTCCACGCCACAACCAACGCCGATCACGCAATCCCATAGTATGATTGATAATGACAATCCCTGGTCTGCCACCTTATCGAACCTATCATTGTCTCCAAACGTCACGAACCTAGCCCAATGCTTATGCGTGGCAGACTACTTAAGTGCGGCCGTTTTCCGTAAGATTGTCAAACAAGACCCGGATGTGCATTCCGCTCCGAGTACCAAAGTTCTCGCATTCGGCCACACAAGATGGCTACAGACTCGGGATCTCCAGCTAAGCTGCGAGTTGCTATAATTGGGGCCGGCCCAGCAGGCCTTGGAGCGGCTATTGAATTTGCCAAACTACCCTTTGTTGAATTACGTGTCTACGAGCAGGCCCGGGAGCTTCGGGAAGTCGGTGCAGGAATCAGCATTCAACAGAATACGTGGCGCATGCTCGATATATTTGGGGTGTATGACAATGTCGATCCAAAAGACTTGTTTCGTCCTGCAGATGGACATGCAGTTCAGCATCGGTGGGTATCCTGCCTCTTATAAGAGGACATGACTGAGCAATTGGCATGTAGAAACGGGAAGACTGGGGAGCTATTGTTGTCAAAGGGACAGGAAGGTTCGGACCCCCAAAACTTGGATTTTCTGGGTTCTGACCATATCAGGCACACCTTCTCGCTATCTTCATGCTCGCACACTTCGCTCTGTACTTCAACAAGCTCTACTGAAAGGTGTTGACAAATCAAAGCTACGACTCTCAAGTCGACTGGTAGAAGTGTCTCAGCTTCCCTCAGAAGCATTCTTCCTACGCTTTGAAGACGGCCACACCGACGAGGTGGATCTTCTTGTTGGAGCTGATGGTGTCCGATCAGTCAGTGACCAACCCATGTTCAACACTTGACCGGTCACTCACATTTTAGGTTGTCCGACAATTCGCCCACCCCGAACACCGTCTTAAGTACATCGGAACCACGGCATATCGCGCACTCGCAGACGCCCGCGACATCCTAAGCATACCTGGGATCCCAGACTCCGTGACCTTCTGGCATGGACCAGCCGATCGTCTCTACACCTGCAACTTGAACAACAACGTTTATGAGATCGCCGCGCGAGTTCCCCAGACCGCGGAGACTGCTCCAGTGAGTTGGGGACAAGATGCGAGTGTAGAGGAGTTCAGCTGGAGATACAAAGTACTTTCTTTCATGAAAGCCCGTAGGCTCACTGCTAATCATATCGAGTAGGACTTTTCGCCCGCTCTTCAGAGCGTACTTGAGAAGATCAAGGTTGTCAAGAAATTTGCCCTTTTCTCTGGACCACGGTTGTCGAGTGTTATCTCTCATGGATCGATCGCACTTGTCGGGGACGCATCGCATCGTACGTTCTCATCATTCTATGAGTCCCCCAGATGCTAATCATACGCAGCTCTTTCCGGTGCATTCGGTAAAAGGTGAACTTCCAACATAGCGACAAAACTTACTAATTTGTTTAGGCGCCGGCGCTGGCTTCGCACTCGAGGACGTCTATGTACTTACGCGCGCCGTGAAGTGGGCCCACGAGCGCGGACTGCCAATACAAGATGGACTGGAACTGTTCGATAGGGTTCGAGCGCCACATTATGCTGCCATGGTAAGCACCCCCAGGCCAGTATCTGAGCCCGCTTTTACTTACGATCTTGTAGTATGACATTTTGGATGGTTATGGGAAATCGGATGTGTCGGTGAAAAAGACGAACGATTTCAATGAAGCGGTATCGATGATTGTTGCAAATAAGTGGGATGATGACCATGGATGGTTGTATCGCTATAATGTATGTTACCCCTGGAGTTACTGGTTGGATATGCTGACTGTAGTCATAGGTCGAGGAGGCGTGGAGGAAAACTTACGAAGCCGAAGATGCTCGGCGCGCAGCGGTGGAGCAGTCGGGTCGTGGAGAAGATTTGAATTCTCGGCTGTAGATACAGCCATATTCGGATTTAGTTGTGGGATAAGACAACGTACTTAGAAGTAGACTGATAGAAATGATATAATTTCTTTTTGAAAGGAGATTTGTCTAAACGTGCCGCCCATTTCCGATATAACATGTTGATTAATCATACAGTATATATGCATTTGCAATAGGCCTTGGTTCCAAGTCACTGATATAATGATATAAAACTCCCCTACGACACCAAGAACCCCGGATCCTTCATAGATAGTGCTACCTCTTGCTCACATCAACCCAACTTATCCAGTCCGCTCATGTGCTTCGTCATCATATCCTATACCAATCAAGTAAGCACCCACCCATTGCCAGCAAAGGGAATACATACCAAAACCCAAGTCGGCATAAACGACGTCATGAACCACCCAATGGAGGCCATCTTTCCCCTCCAAATAAGCCCAGTCTTCCCACCCACCAAATCATCAACCACCCGACGCGCATAATCGGAGCAAGGCATCGTGCCGCCTGTGTTCGCCCCCGTCGCAATATCCATTATCTCCTTTGTTGCAGGCGCATACCTTGATCCCTCAAGATTCAACTCCGGCGCGCGAGTCCAGAGATTCGACCCCACGACACCAGTCATGATGGTAACAACTTTGACCCCGAATGGTGCGAGCTCATGACGTAGACCCTCGCTATATGATTTCAATGCCGCTTTTGAAGATGTATAAAATGCTATATCCCCAGTTAGCCAGATCATCTCCATCAACTCCTGGTCACCCCGTAGCGGAATTTAAGCAGAGACCATTCCACGGAACCGTCATGACCCCACCCATAGAGCAATGATTCGCGATAACTCCCTTGGCTGCAATAACCATCTCGGAGAATGCGTTCACCATTCTCACAACACCCCAGAAGTTGACCTCAAAGACCTCTTTGGCTTTCTCGATGTCCGTCTCCAAAGCCGGAAACGTAAGCGGGAGACCGGAGTTGTTAACCAGGTAGTCGAGCTTTCCGCCCGTAAGGGATTTCACAGCTTCCACAGCGGCGACAATATCATCGGCAGAAGTCACATCTAATTTGAGAAGCGTCATGTTGGGAAATTTAGATAGATGGGACATTTTATCCACGGAACGGGCAGTCGCAATGACGTGGTGGTTCCGCTCGTGGAAGGCCTCGGCTAGGGCGGAGCCGATACCGCCTGCGCTGCAGCCGGTGATGAGAACGGTCGGGAGGGACATGGTTGGTTAGTTTGATAAAGTTGTGAGGGACAAATATTGGATGGCAAGGATCGGGGATGATGGGGTTTATAAAGCCAGAGCAAAGAGGAAGGAGGTAAGCTTACGGGTTGTGGGGATCTCGTATCCGGGCAGAAATGGACCTGTGGATTACGGATATCGTGGGTTCTATTAATAATAACGTTATCTTATCGGGCTGAATGGGGAATAGTCTGTCATGTTGCGGTGAGTTGGCTTATTGGAGGATGATGGAAAATTATTACTTCAGGGTGCAAGTTGTTGTTATGCATTGTTTGACTTGTATATTGAGGTATCTGGCTGAGGTGGAGTTCATCTTGGCTTTTATCCCTAGAGATTCCGTCGGCATCCATAACTAGCGAGCTAGAGGGGGACAACCTGAGTGGCATTCAGGGAGATATGCCAGGCCACGCCAAATTGGTGAGCCAAATTCTATATTTTTGATATTCTTAGAATCTCAGTCAAGCTATCCTGGATCAACTAGTGCCGTGCTTGTCTAAGACCCGCGGCACCATACGTTAAGATTTGGGCAGACATGACATATCTACCGATAAAGATAACCGAAGCCAGTAGACCCCTTGATGCATTTATCCTACTATATTCGTTATACACCACGATGTCCGAGTATCATATTAGCGAATACATACCATGGCTTAACATTTTCTTTTGAGATTTTCCACATCAATTGGCAAAAGTATCAAGATATATATAAACAAATAAATAAAATCCAAAAGAAAGAAGAAAGAAAAAAAACGTTTTGGCCCGGACGGAGGAAACAAAAAGATAAACAAAATCACAGTCTCATAAGTCCCCGCAAGGTGTATTTTTCTGAAATCCTGCTTTATCGAGCGAACGTTTCGAAGGCGGAAGCTTCCCTAGAGCTGCAATGGCAGCCTGGTACCATTCTGCACCCAGTTCCATCCATTTCCTCTAATATAGTTCAGACACTGTTTGACTTCACAGCTACCAGAACCATCAAGCAGATCATAGGTCTTATCATCGGCAAGTAAAGGCGTGAGTGCTGGTTTGTCGTATTTCCAGAATCTGACTCTGGTTCCGATTGCCGTGGCTGCAAAGGTTCGCGTTGTTCCACGGATGTTCCCCACGCAGTAATCCAGTAGTTGACCCTCTGCTGATTTCCACTCGGGCGGAGTGTTATTTTCAGGGCTTCGGCACTGCACAACGAATACTAGCTTTTCCGATGAAACAGTATCGTTGCCCCGAGGCTCAGGGGGAGGGTCAAGCATGGCGATTTGTAGCACGACGCAATCAGGCATTTTGTCATCTCCCCAGACTACCTCTTTACCGGCAATCTTGAATCTCGAGGAAAGTGGAAAGAAGGCGATGCATGCATTCGTCCAGAAGATGCTGACAGGCGATACGGTCGAGTCCGGTTTGATCGCGGTCAGCGCGCTAAACAGAGTGATGTGACGGGAAAAGATGGAGATCGGCTGAGATGTCATATCGCCGAATGTATATCTCGATGCCGCAGTGTAATCTATTCAAATCCTGAGGATCATTCAATCAATGTTAGGAGTTCTATGGTGCGAAGGGGGTAGGAGTTAAGGTCCCGCGCTAAAGCCCCACCTGCCAGGCTGCGGCTGCGGCTGCGGCTCTGCACGCGGTGATGTACACAAATGTGCATCTATCATATTTGCTTACTCGTCATGTTCACTGACCAGTGTCTGCTGTCACTATGTATTCACACTGTGTGACCTCTGTCTCCTGAAACGATGCCTGCAAACAAGTTCCATATGCCCCTCTTCGTCCCAGGCTTCGCCATCTCCACTTCCCATAGAAGTCCCTGTATTGCTTCATCCTCATTTCGGTCGCCAAATAAACCAGGCTCACTCACATCCTTTGGCTTTAAGTTGTGACTTTACTGGGGATTGTTTATCATTGAATAGCTGCCAATTGGTTTTATATGTTATAGTTTCGTATTATATATCCTAGATATAAAGTAATCTCGGTCATGCATATCATCTTTTGGTAGCCCTCTAACGGCCTATTGTCCACAGGGAGGTATTATTCGTTATGTTTTATCAATGTGGCCGAACAGCGATAGCCAATATGATAATATAGAAAGTGCATCTTGCTTCTCCACCCACTCCCACAATTCGTCAAGATTATACCGTGCTATGTCTGCTTCTCCACTACCAGATGCACGTCACAGATGCCTGCTTTGCCACAGGCATACCCCTTCCCCCACCTAAAGTCCTCGAAAGCTCGGCCCCCTCCCTTTATTCATGGCCTTCCACTTGCCAAACTTGACATCATCCAAAAGCTGCTTCAACAAAGCTCTCCCATTCCAAGCCCCCACATCAAACATCCAACTCCCCATCCTGAACATCTCAAACCCCTCAAGCCTCTGGGTACACCTATACATGCACACCAGCTGGCGTCCATACGCCACAGCGCACCAAGGCTGTCCTGGGCACTTGCTCAGCTGCCCCAATTGATTTGAAGTACGATCCCATGTATCCTCGCGATGATACTCCTCGGCCTCCTTGCATAAGATGATAGCCATTGGAGAAGAAACTGGTTCGGTCCCAGGACTAGGCCAGGTGTTCTGTTTGACAAGGCAGTAAACAATACGTGCACCATTGATCTCAGCGGTGCGGAGGTCGTGAGTGAACTCTCCGTTTTGTGGGTAGATCTTGACTAGAATTTTGTGCCAGAGCTTCAAGGTTTGTTCTTCGGTGAGGGGGTGTTGATTGGGTGTGGACCTGACAATGTCCACCAGAGGGTCGGAGGTAGTAGAGGTAGAGGGAGATGGAAAGGAGGGAGAAGGGCTGGTTGTGGTGGTAAAGGGTTCGAGGGTTGAGAGGCGAGGGGACGCGCCGGGGAGCATGAGTGGAGGTAAGCGGTTTTGCATGGCGCGAGGAGATGAATTGTTGCCTCCTGTCTGGCGGGAGGAAGAGTGATGATGATAGTGGTGGGGTACGATGTTGGGTCTGGTAGTTTGGGGAATGCTTCTGGGGATGAGTGGGCTGAGGGGCTGTTGGTTAGGCATTTTTGACATCTTTCTTGACCCTTTTGTTGAATATAGAAGGGGGGCTGATGTTGGACAGTCCATGGCAAATATATCTTCTTTTATGCTTGTTAGTATTTATGTCTGTGAAGGTCACCAATGGTGTCTGCGGAGGAGTGGGAGTCGTTGTTTTCTAAACTTCGAGTGGGAGGATCCATGTTGTGTTGGCTGAACTTTGTCTATACCCGTCTAACTTTGATTTAGTTTCTCTTGCGTGATGGTATTGTTCATTGGCATGCAGAACAAGCAGAAGTGACGCCTTCTTGTGGTGAAACCTTTGTTCCCAATATATGGAAGGTCCCGAGTTCAATGCACTATTTACGGTTATAATACATCACTTATTTTCTTCTTGAGGGTGTGGATGACAAAGGATTTACAGAAAACTTGCTGGGTGCTTAATAGGCACATCCCTTTTCACATCATCGCTAAACAAATGCGCAGAGTGGTTGCGTTGTATATGATCATTTAATGGGATGGGGCTCTGAATAACTTTATCTTGCTGAAGCCTCGGTCCAATTCAATCGGATACGTATACTTGGTTGGCAATTTGCCTCGCGTCTTGCCCATGGATTTTAGAAACATCGGCTCCCCAAAAGGCAACAATATTGATCCTCACGTATAAGTCCATCCTGCCATTCTTCTTCTTCATTTTAAGTGGGGATTTGTAATCTTAGATCTTCCATGTCCATGAGGTTTTCCAAGGTTGGTATACCAGTTTTGACGCGCCATAATCTTTGTGCTTGTCCATACGTCATGGCAACTCCGAGAATGGTAAGTTCGAAGAAGCATTTCTCCCCGTAAACGTTGCGGTGCACATTCGGCAGATCGGTTTCCACCAACCAAGTGTCCCATCCGAACCGGCTACTGAACGCCATCCAGTAGTGGATGAATCGTCCCATTGTCACCCGTTGTTGTTACTGCTGAAGGAGGACTCCTGACCACTGGAATTCTTACTCCTCCAACAGTAGGACAAGTCTTGGGATGGTCCTGTGGGCTGGAATGATAATACACACGGAATACTTGCAGGATGCATTTGTCTCCAGGGTGCTCGTGGAGCCATTGCGAACACACGCATTGAACGAATGAAGATAAACTGGTATTTCTGATAGATCAAGGTTTCCTCTAGCAACTCGGGGAGGCGCAGCACCTTATTTGTCGTGTTCATGTGACTGGAACTATCACCTCGAATACCTATGGAACGTGAAGAAGTCACTCATTAAATTTCTCGGCATGTCGAGACGATTTACTCTACGTAGGATATTCCCGCTCTTCACAACCAATATTCACAGGATTTATAAACATTGGTATGCAATTTAGTATTTCTTTTGACCAGTGGAAGAATCGATAACCATGGCACTTTGTCTATTTTGTGCACAAAAAATCAAGGAGTCACATCTCGTCAACAATACCTAGTGGAACGAGCTGCAGGCCCTCATTCTTAACTATCAGTGTTTTTGATAATGGCTCATGAGGTAGCTCCTACAAGACAATTGAATCATTCATCCTCTTATTGACCTTTTCAACCACCATTTCTCATAGCAGTAAGCCGCAGAAGAAATCGCCAGATGGTTGGTCTCTTCCGAGCTGACCGCTCCTGGCCTAGCTGTGATAGAATGAACGATGCGTATTCAGTGTAGTTCACGATCAAATATATCAAGGTCACGTGGACGCATTCCAATGTACTAAAAGCGAGACTGTACGCCAATATCAAATACGGTAGTCTTTTGTTTTCTTTTTGACTGTGACAGTATGACTTCAGCAAAGTGTATCGTTGATTTCAGCATCGATCTAAGATTTTATTGTGCACATATATCTCTAGGAAGCAACATGTTCAGCAAACACCTGACTCCCCCCGTTACATGGTAACCGCCATATACTGACACAGCCCTGCTGAGCATCCGGCAGTAGTCATCACCAGTCAACATGAGTGTTATAGTAATCGTCGACCACCTCGGTCCAGGAGAGGAATCTGCTCAGCTCATCATCATTAAGAAGTTCAGCAAAATCCATCTTCGAAATTCCAGGATAAATCGGTTTAGTGTCAGTACGCGGTGACATCAGCTGGCTTGGATTCAAGAGAGCAATCAGTTGCCAACGTGGTCTGCCACTATTACCTGCCGTCTTCTTCCAGAACACAGTGAATTCCGGCGACTTGGAATGGTTCATTAGCGATATCATCGCCTCCAGGAATCCGCTGAGAGTCATGCCGTTGGTATCACTTCTCAGAAGACTATGCTCCCTCTTCAAGACGACATGATCACTAATCCCCGGCCCTGGGTCCTGCCTCCTTGTGTGTAGGCTAACTGCTTCGAGGACAACAGGGACAGTCGATGGCCACATCCGTCGCCATGATGCCTTCTCGTATAGAACGATTTCTCTCAGCTTGGCATCCTCAAACCATGCGAACTTCCCGCTTGGTCCGCGTTGAACGAAGTAACCCCCAACGTTTTTACAGTAGCATGCAGGACAGAACCACTTTTTGAAGAAAGGATTAAGCGCTGGCTCTTCATTATAAGAGGCTGACGACTGCTCGAAGAACAGAGCCCGTCGGATGATAATGGACCCCCTCATCATGAACTGCCAGGATCGACAGACCTGCTCCATTCTCAGCAAGTCCGCAAAGCCGAGTCTGATAAGTATCATCTCCACAATCTCCGGGATTGCGAGTGCCGCTTGCGCAACCGTGTGTCCTTTGTCGTCATTGTCCTCTCCCGGGGTTGTGGGGCTATCAGTCGGGCAGTCGGGGTCCGAGGAAGGATTGTCCCATGCCACGCATAGCGGACTTTTCTGTCCGTCGAGGACGTCCATTTGGGCTATGCGTGGTATGTCTTGAGGTTATGAGACACTCTAGGAGAATCTAGAGCATGACAGTTCTGCAGAGATGTAGGGAAAACGAGCGTACTTATACTGTCTCACAATACTATCAGCTTGTTGTCACATCGACGGTTTGCTCGGAAGCATTGTCCGAATGTCTACGTAATCCGACTGTGACTTTCCATCATCTCATCAGTGCATCATGGCCTGGTTCCGGCCTTTGCAATGCCCTTGCTGTTGTCACACACATAACTAGATACCTTCTACATGATCACTACGGTTATTAGATATTTTTGACTGGATTCTTCATTTCACGATGTTACACAAATTTCAGTCATCTCTTGATAGGCTGGATTGAAAGTGGTGGCGCTGCCAAAGGATTCGCCGAAGCTTAGCAGATGATCATCTCTTAGCACGGGGGTGGAGTAATCCGGAACGAGACATTTCTCCGTCAATCGGTTATTTCCTGTGCCATGTCAGTGGAGCAGAGGCAAGTCGCTGTAGCCTTCTACTCGTCCAGTCGTTTGTTGGCTGGAGGCATATCCCTTCCCGCGCAGCACAAATCACTCCTACATTTCCGCGTGTGCAAAGACGTCATCTATTTATAGCATTGATTTAGTAGCCACAGCAATAATGGCTATTCCATGAGATAATTCAAGCATTCCGTTTCCATTATATGACAAATCCTCATTGCACAGTCCTAGAGCGTACTTTTACCACCACCAGCTACCCAGCATCACCAGCATACCTAGCACCACAGGTAGTAGACAGTAATATAACAAAGACTATAAATACCCCAACCCCATCATCTCAAATCGGCGTATGAGTAGGCACCCAATAGCATTCCGGCCTATCAAAGTACTCCTTCGCCTCATCCCAAGACCACTCCGTACCACTATCATCCTCATCCGGAACAGGCCATATATTATCCTCATCATTGGGCGCATATTTGCTTGGGTCGTAAGATTTAGTCCCATCATCATTAATCCACTCCCACTCCCCCCTATGCGCAAACTTCGGAGGCTTATCCGGGCCATAAAACTTCGACTCAAACTTATCCAAGACGTACTGATTCCTCATCCCCAAATACCCCTCCGCCGTTGACTTCATCCTAATCGGCGGCTTCACCCTCACAAACGTAAACTTACGCCGATCACACCTCCCCAGCATCCCCTCCGGACTCGCAGACACAAACGAGCACTCATACGGCGCCCTCAGCCTTCTCTTCTCCTCATCACTAACCCCTTCCTTCCAATTATTATCCCAATCCCCGCTCCCCTCCCTCACAGTCCTCCACTCTACCGCCATCCCATTCGTCGGCCAATACCCTAACTCATGCAACAACACATCCCAAAAGAGCTCCATCGTCGCTCCCAGCACCGGATCCTGTCCGGCCTCTTTATCATACACCAGCAGATTCTTCGCTGGGTTCTGATCATCCCGGACCGTCTTCCGGACTACTTTGCGCACCCGGCACGGGATATTCATGGGTCTCATGCGTCGCCAGGAGGCTTCAGGGCGGAAGACCGCCTTGTGGTAGGCTGTGTCGTCGCCCAGGCGCATATGCTGTATGTCTTCAGGCATGAAGATTGGGGAGGTGGGCTTCGTGAAGTCCGGAGTGGGGAATAGCACTGGGAAGAGATATCGCATGAGTGGGTTGAAGGTTGGTTCGGTGGGGTACGGGTGGGCGAAGTCGTAGAACAAGACTGCTCGGAGCGGGCTGCGCGTGGTGATTAGCGTGCGCCATTGGCGGCAGACGAGTTGGGCGCGCATCAGGTCGAATGGGTCGAAGCGGAGGAGGATGCACTCGACTAGTTCGACGATGCTGAAGACGGTGTCCATTTTGGGGGTGGGGGTGGATGATGCTATGAGCTTTGTGGATGTGGTTGGTTCTTGGGTAGCCATGGTGGTTGTGGTCGATTCTGTTGCGGTCATTGTGGTAGATGTGATTGGTTACTTGCTTTAGGGTTGGGTTGGTGTAACGTAGTTTGTGCTTTTTTGGCAGTGTGGGGTCGTTGATGCTGCTTGGATGGTGTGCAAGGATGGGGTATATATAATTGTGACACAGCATGAAAGGTTTGGAAGAAGCCCTGGTGAATCAGGATATATCATGTACAAGTTCAGCATATTGAAGTATGTTGTAGCGATTGTTGATGCTGCTCGTATTTAAGGTTTGTCAGCTTTATGCTCTTTGTGTGCATATCAAATTATCAATGTATGGCGGGAACACCCTTTGTCGAGCATGAATTTTGACGAGAATGAACGTCTTTGTATGCAGAAGACACTTTCATTCTACGCATATGTCATGTCGATGCATGTTACTTTCCATCGTTTTCTATTCCATGAATATCTCGTCATTCTTACAGCTACATAGTACTATGAGTCACTCATTCAGTACACCTTCACAGCTAAAGTCAGAACAGGAAAACAGCAGCAAAAGCGTAGTGGATAGTTTCAATTTATTCATAGCGTAAACCGGGTATCTCATCGTAGTGAATTTATCAGTATATAGAAAAGGCATAGTGTTCTGCACCACCCGCGCCAGATCATTCAAGGTGAGCCAGACATTGCACCATTTGAGCCACCTCAAATGAGAAAGGGGCCATGGAGTTCACCCCATACCCCCATAACAGCCCAATGATGCTTCCGGCAAACCTGACAAGACAACAGTGTTATAGTAATTGTCGACCATTCAATATTGGTCGACCATCAGTATCCCATGATCGGACAACACGAGCGTTATAGTTCGTGTCGATTCTTTTCGTCCAGGCGCAGAACAGTCCGCCCAGCATCACGAGGCACATCAAGACGCAAGACACAGTAGCATGTCGCAGGAAAGATTGCAGAAGACAGGTAAAAGTCATCATAGGTTTGACTCGCACTTCTTGATGTAGAGTCTATCAAGAAGTAGAGAAGTAGAAATTGCTCCACACGAGGAAGCGCAACCCTCCATCGGGAAATAGTACCCATTATATGAAGCTCTCAGAACGAAGTAAATCTCGGGTACTGCCCCCATCTTTCCCCTGATTTCCGAAAGTATAACCCGGCTCCACACGAGGAAGCACAATCCTTCACCGGGAGGTAGTACCCTTTACATGAAACTCTCGACACAGAATGATCCTTGGGTACTACCCCCACCTCCACCTTCATCCTTCCCCAGATTCTCCACAGCCCACAATGCCACCTCCCTGGCAGCATAACAATCCTCCGCACAGTCATGTCCCTCTTGGACCTCATCCCCCTTCTGAATCTCGACCCCACAGCAATCCCTTACGATATCTCGTAGGCGACAGCTCCTCCCTCTCCTCTCCCCCTTCATGAGAAGATACGTATCCACGATCCTGTCATGCACGATGCCCAACACATCGAGGTCGAAATTCAGACTCTGGCCGACCAGAATCGTATTCTGGTCGACGAAATCCCACACATGGGCCCGTGCCCCTTCGTACCCGTTCACTGTTCTTCCAGCGGCGACGTGCTGTTCCATGAGTTCGGCTGTCATCCCGCTCCATTTTGTCTTCCAGTCGGAGACCGGCTCGGTAGGAAGCACAGGCTGATCGAGGAGGAGTTCACCGGTGAGGACGTCTACCAAACTGACTTGGCAGAGCTGGGTGCGGCCCGTGATGTCGGTTACCATTTCGCAGTCGAGCGAGACGGCAAGGCGGGCGGAAGGGTTGTACGTGTCTGGGGTTTGTTGGAAGCGGATGTTGTTCTTTGTTGTATCCGGGGTGATGGTGTAGTTTGCTGCTTGGAGGGTTTGGACTGTGTGACAGTTGTTGGTAAGGAAGTCGAGAGCTTTGGTTTGCTCGGCTTGGGTGGTGAGGGCTGTCCAGCGGGGGCTGGGTGGAGCATATGTTGTCGATGGTGGTGTCGGTTTTGGGTCGATGCTGATGGTGCTTAGTGTGGGGGAGGTGGTGTTTGAGGGGATAAAGATGCCACTGTCTTGGCGTTCCATGTGGGTGGTGTTGGTGATGGGACAGTACTCTGTCGTTGTGTCACATGGTATATCCCGTTCGATGTTGGTGGTGTTGGTGATGGAACAGTAATCCGCCGTTGTGTCATACGGTGTGCCCCAGGGCAATAGATGCCATATGGGGGTGTCTATATCGATGGTGATATAGTAGTATGACAGGAGTTCGACTGGGATGTAGAAGGTGGTCATTTTGGCGGTTGATGATGATTAAAATATTAGGTTGTTTGTGGGTGGTAGATTATTAGGTGCTTGGTTGATATGTTGGGACTTCGCAGTACTAGAAAGATAGTAGTAGATGAATGTAAACGGACAGTTAGGAGTCTAGAAGGTGGTGCCTGGCACCCGTTCTTATAGTCCATGTTATTAGGCTGCGTAAGAGCACATCATCACATACCTCCCTCTTCAACTATTGGACGGTCCAGAAAATCTATACGCGCCGATGTTGTCAGTTTTCCTCATCGAGAATGTGGAGTGGTCATGGTTATCTGATGTTTATCTTAGGCGCCGAGCTAAATATAGCAACCCCGTCGTTGCAGCGCTAACGTACTGTGAAACCTTACCCCGGTTCCTGAAACAGACAGCAACACCAAGACTTGCCACATTGATTCCGAAGGACTTCAGATAGGGAGCGTTTTGTGGTATTGGAACTTGCTGATACTAATGATCTTTCTCTCCGGTCATCCAAGATCATGTGCGACACTATCACGTCATCAACTGACAGGTTGACGGACCCGCACTGCCAGGAACTATCATCGGAGGTCCCGCTGTAGTGTTGCAGGTGTGGGCGAATGTATTCGTCTTTATTGTTGGCTTGCGCCTCTGGTGATATTTCCCTAGAGCTTTCCGTACGTTCTCTCTGGAGTATACCGTAATCCAATCATTCGCGCTGCTGAAGACACCCGGACACTTTTAGCCGGTCAGCGAGAGACAAACATATCCAGAAAGAATTCAAGGTCTGCCGCTCTCTTCTCTCATTATTATTATCCACACCAGTATATATAGCGTCATCCAGAGCGCAGTGTGCGAGTCGGAGATGGGTCGAGTAAACATGTCCTCTGAAACCCAGGTCTGTTATAGACAATACCGGTGTCCAACCCAGAACATAAAGATAAATTGGAGGAAGTCCACCAACGCCTAAGCCTCGCCTTGATAGTTTTCTTCATCATTGTCCAGGGCGAGTCGTAATGCCTTGTCAAAATCTCTCTGGAACACAGCCGTTGAAACATCCCAGAGCCATGACATAGGTTATTAGTACATGTGCCATCCCATAACAACCAATAGAGGATAGCATGTAGGATATTGCTTGCCTTTGAAACATTGAATTTACCTCCTGCTATTCCTTTCAGAAGGATCTTCCAGCAGGCAGCATGTAGAATAAGAGATCATTGCATTTTCCAGTGTCTTTATTAAAGGATGGTTTGTATTCTGACCAGGCATGGAGGTCTCATGTAGACTGGTAATTTCATCCCATACAGAGCAATAAATGATCTCATGTACCATTGTACAAGCTCTTGCAATATGGGAAATCTTCCTGTGTGTTTTCAAGAATACTCATCTCCCAGCAACCGACAGATCAACCAGACCAGAATGGAGACATCATTTTGGCATAGCTATCCAATTCCATCAATTATAAAAACCCCCCATTATAATCAAATAAGTATCGAGCGTGTCCACAACCCCCTATCTCCAGGCCTGAGAAGCAACAAAGATACATGACCTGGTACTTGAAGTCTTTCTTATATACCTCCTCGTGACCTCACGTGATATGAAATATAATCAGCGATAAAGCGACAGAAGCGATCAAGCGACGGAGACTCCCGATAAACCTTTGCTTCGCAAATTCCCGAAATATACTTCACCATATAGGGATAGGAACATGCCGGTTGGATGCGGTCACATGGTGGTCGGGAAGGTTCCGTTAAATGCCAAAGTCAGCATGGTTCCGGTGCCGATCGACGTTTCCAGATGTGTCGGTGTCATGGACAAGCTCGGTGATGCTGATTGGTTGGGTGGGGGAGTGGCGAGGGTGGCGATGTGGTGTTCACGTGATGGTGCAGCGATGGGTGCTGCATGGTGAAAAAAAAAAAATGAGGATGAGGGGAACTGTTGGGAGGGTTCTGGGATTATATATGGAGGGATTTGAATTTATTGGAATTATTGTTACTATGTTGATGTTGAATGATGGAATTCCATCACTGATTGGGGTGAATTCTATGGACGGCTATGAATGGCATATGTGAAGGGGTTGTTGATTAACCAAGTTGAACGGCAGTATCTATTGATGGATCTAGAGATATAACTAGAAATACTATACTCTTAAATGCAGACTCTTCATCTCGATCCAGATGAAACATATCAATCACTACAATATAGGAAAAAAGAAAGAGCAAAGTGTGAATAACAGTTGGATAAAAATTTTGACATCCAGTTGATGCATCAACTCTAAAAAATTAACAGTACATGGTATAAAATAATGAGGTATCATGCGAATCATGCAACATGCAAACATGCAATAGTATCATGCAAGCCATATCCATCAACATATAGAACAATCTCCCAAAACTCCTAACCCGATATTTACGCGTTCTCCGCGTGGTAAGAACGAGACTGCTTGCGCTCCTCCTCGTACTGGAAGGAGTGCAGAGCAGGGATCTCAAAGTTGCTGCTCTTCCAGGGCTTGATCTTGTTGACGTACAGCCAGTCAAGCTCCTCGAGAGTACGGCCCTTACCCTCCATGACGAAGAAGTAGACGACAAAGGCACCGACGAACATGCAGCCGGCGAAGACGTATCCGTAGGCAAAGTCGATGGCGCTGGTGATGAAGGGAGTGAAGAAACCGATCAGGAAGTTCCAGGCCCAGTTGGCAGCAACGGCCAGAGCCATACCCTGGGCACGGTACTTGGAGGGGTACAGCTCGGCGGTGATGGTCCAGACCATGGGAGCCCAGGTCATGGCGTATCCGGCAATGAAGAAGCAAGCGAGCACAATCATACCCTTACCGACACCGGGGGTGTTCTCGGGCTCGGCGACGTCGAGCATGAAGTGACCGATCGAAGCAAAGATCATGAAGCAGAC